GAAAATGTTAATCTGGTGTGAGATTAGAAAGGAAAACTGTATAATTATACCACACCATATCGTTCTGTCTTCTTGTGTTTACATTAATCTAAGGTTTATTGTTGTCTATTTATTTAAGCCTCATAAATCAGGAATTAAGTGAACTTTTTATTATCTATTTATATAAACATACCTATATCATTATTTTACCTGGTGATTCACCATAAAACTATTTCTAATCTAAATCAAATCATTGAAGTAAATTATAAAATGAAGCCTTTTGCCTGTAATCGTTTTTTTTTTTCACAGTAGTTTATTTCTAAAGTTTTATTGCTTAAAGCCTCGATGTGCCAGATGGCTAATTGTCAATTTCCTTTTTAAAATTTAAAAAAAAAAATATAGGCTGAAATGTTTTCTTTGGATAGTAATCTTGACAATTAAATTTTCAAGAAAAAGGTTTATTAATGCTATCTTGACCTCAATGTTCATGGATACAAATGATTTATCCTTATTAGCAGACTGACGTTCTGAGACGAGAACTTTAGATAGCCATAATGTATGTTAAAATTTAATGAATTTAATCATCTTGTATATTGTACAAAAAATTCAAATGATGCTCAGTAAAATTTCAGTAAAACTGATTTTATGTTGGTATTCACAATAATTTATTTTTCTGTCTTAATTGAACAAATCCTGAGTATTTAGCAATTTTGAATTTTAAATTAAGTATAAATAGAAAATGCAGAGACAAACTTTTACCACACCAAAGACAGAACAGACAATACTAGAATATAGAGTACACTGATGACAGTAAGCTACATAAATTAATTACAAACAGGTTTTAAATAAAGAAAGTTCAGCAATTTTAACTAACAGTTGATGTACATACCTTATTTTAGAAAAGTTTCGAATGTCAAACTTGCACTGTAAATGTTATTCCTAAAGTAGAATCTGTGATTCAGAAGTTTTATCCTTCTACTAAATCTTACAAAAGTCAAACTGGATTAGAAGCCAGCAGAAACACTTGCCAATTTTCAACTCCCCTAGTAACAGTATAGTTAAATAAATTAACGGACTGGGTTGGTCCAAGTCTTACTTTCACACTATCCCTATTGATGTCTATTTAAAACCACTTGCTATCGGGCAGTAGTATAAAGAGCATAGATCACACACAAAATACCCATTCAATGAATTAGTTCCGGCAAGATTTTAAGTGGTGGGAACAGATAAAAAAAAAGAAAGCCTTTGACAGGAGCGAGACCACTGGTTACAATACCTTTACATACCCTACTTAACACTTAAATAAAGACAAGCTTACCTTATCAATACAGAAAAAGGAGTTAAAAAGGTAAATACCTACAGGTATATCAAATCGTCAACTATTAACCTTTAAGGGACTGTTTACATTGTAAATTAAAGTCTGACACATAACATAGTACACTACATGTTTGCACAGAGTTTATCCTAAATATCCCAACAAATTTACATTTCTTCTTACCTTGTAACATCATATAAGTACTTTAATCTCTCTATACATGTAATTAGAATAATATTTTCACATGTATATCAACTTGATATATGAAGTGTCAATCATCAATCATTAAGAATTTGTCAATGTCAATTAAAATGGTAGTAAAACACTATATAATAAATCCTTTTCCGTGACATTTCGAGGACCTCACATACACATTTTCCAATTGACCCTAAATTGAAAATCTTGAAATTTCCAAGAATAACACATAGTGATAACAATTACTTGAACAAACAGCTATTATGGTTAAATTTATACTTCAAAGATATGTTTATTAAAGTCTCTAACTCAATATCATCCAAAGTCTTCGACATTGAAAGCACGAATTATTTGTCAATTTAAATCAACATTGATGTTGTGATCTTACTGGGAAAAGATGGGCTTTTGATATCCAAGATAAAATAAACATTTTACCATTGGTACACAATTCATGTGCTATAACGAGTTTCAGCGCCATTCGTAACAAGGGACTCGAAGTACGAGGCTAGACATATTCCACAAGTCATGTCAAACGGTGACGTCATATTCTTATCTAGAGAGCATGCGCAATAAACACTATCTGTGTAGACTGTAATAACTAGACGCTAGAGATTGCCATTTGATTGAGACTTCTGGCATATTTCGCCGAAAATAATTGATTAGAAATTACAGTAAAAACAGAAACGACTGAATGTAAATCAGTTTATATACATTCACATTACATTATTATATGCATTGAAACCCATTTCCGTCAATTTCTAGGTTCAAATTTCTTTTTTCTAACGAACTCTTTTTATACTAATACAAATGGAATGCATCTGTCAAAAAATATCTTCAAACAGTAAACAATTACCTGAACTCTTAATACATGTAGGTAATGTTGAGTGTTGGGACAGATTCTAGTCTAGCACTAGTAACCTCAAATAAATCCTTTATTCTAAAAGGTCTAACACACTCTGGGAAAGTACATGTATAGTCATTAAAATACTAGAAACGTCTGATCAAAATCTATTTTCAGTCTTCAATAAAAGCACACAGGCAATTATTGTTTTTATTATCCGAGACGGTCTTCTATAATTAAATGCAGCTTGATTGATCTCAGAACTGAAGATTTGATTGGCTTTCGACAACAAAAGCAAAAAAAAATTTTACAGTGAAAAGTGGTCGGTAAAAAAGATCTGAGAAATTAGGCCAAGTACAACTTTTTGGGAATTCAATGTTAAGTTCTAGTACATACCATATGACAGAAATAAATTCTTTCTCCAATATAAGTATAATATATCCTAGAAAGTGGACTATCCAGGTAATTACAGGATGGTGTTACATACTATAATACATATATAAGTGTAATTACCTGTAACTATGTAATGATAAAACTACTGACAACCAAATATTTATGGTATGTAGTCCACTGGGTCATTCAATATAGACCATCTGTGAAATCAGCATTAGGAATATTGAAATCAACATTTTAATATACATGTATACTGCAATAAATATTGTATAAACACAATGTATGTATATCTTGTATCTAAGGTATGTTTGTAAGTATTGATCATACACTATGTCTTTGATGGCTTAATATACATAACCTTTATATACAGTGTTGACATTATGTACTTATTTACCTACATAAATATTTAAATCTAATCAATATCTACCTGGCAATAGAAGAATAATCTATATTATTATTCCATCAGAAAACTCAACACAGAAAATCTTGATAAGATACAACTGAGCACGTTAATAATCGATTAAAATCAAATCAAATGAAGTGTATAATATCTTATGTTTCCTTTGAATTCATTTAAAAGTAATAAGCTTTTAGGATAGATAGGATCTTCTAAAGCAACCTTTTAATCATGTCTATACACTAAATAAAGGGACAACACACCAGAGTGAGATTTAAATATCGCGATTCTTAGTAATCCTACTGTAATTACCTGTACATTCATTTGAAGTTTACATTAATTTCTTTTGATTTCACATTGTCATCTTGTGTGTCTAATATACATAATGTACTAATGAATGGTTAGCAGTGTGTAACTAAATTATTCAATTCATTTTACTATCTAAGTCTATAATTTTATTTTTCCTGGTAATTTCAGATAAAAGTAGGTTTTATGGGTCGAATAAACAGGTTAATTTATCTTTTAATATTTACGACTTAACACCTGATAATGCCCAGAACTATAATTATTTTTGTCCACATCCTGTTTCACAAAAGAATACTCTCTGGTTTCACAATTATTGTCTTGTTTAAAGGGGTCAACAAAAAATTACGCTTTTTGAATAAAATCACTGCTGACAAAAAAGTTGTCATATTGCCAAGACTTGTAGACTATTATAACTCAAAGATTGATTTGTTTTAGTTTAGTGTCTACAGTTTTTATATAAGTTTAGTCTCTATGTAAAATATTATTTTCTAATTCCCCTCTGTTATTTATCAAAATGTGTGAGGTATTAATTATTTTTCACTTTGTGTATACCTGTACTGTGTTCACCTCTTGTAATTCAAGGCATTACGCCATTAGCGAATGAAGTAGGTTATTGTTTCAAGGCCCAATATTAAATAAACAGTAAACATAGACCACACACAATAAAAAAAATATAGGTTGTGGTCTTTACAGAAAACATATGTCCAAAAGTTATCAAAATCATAACATAAAGGTCACACTACTTTGTAATGACTTAACACTGTCATATTAATTTCTCTTATAATAGTAGGCTGACATCTGAAGAATGACTCATTTCGATCCACGAAATCCTCAAATATTGAAGTCATGATAGCATCTAATCCAGCTTTTTTTTTGTATAGGTGTCTAAATTATTAGCAAAACCACTTTTTGGCCCTTATTTTAGTTAAATTTAAACATGCATTATGCAAGAGCTAAATCTGCCTATTGTAGGTCTTTCTTTAGGCCTGAAATGTTATACTGTAAACTATTAATTAGACATTAATTAACGTATCCAGACCATAATCAACTCTCGATGTCAACGCTAGCCTGCGATATTTGTTGGATTATGATGCGATTTGCTACACAACTTTCCTTCTCGATTTAACGATTAAATGGATAATCGAGACTATGATTTTTGTCCTACTGACTTTAGTAATGATGACCGAGGCTATGCGAAACTTTCGTTCGCTTATTTCTCGGTTCAGATTGGATCAATTTGACTGAAATTTTCAACAAATTGCCTTTACATTATCTAGTTCTTAACTATTATAGCGAGAACTGCCAACTCGTTATCAAATCTCCCATAATGTATCTTTAAAAAATGAAAATGTTTATTGGACTTCTGTTGCATTCTTCCTTAAACAGAATTTTCCAATACTTATCAAATCTGTAATGTTCCATTCAATCTTTAGAAGCAATTTTTTTGGTAGAAGCGTTGATATAATGGTATACATGCTCAATGTTCTGTGACTGATATGGAAGATCATCAATATCGGCTAAAACCACACCGCATCCTGAAATCTCAAAAAATAATTTTAAACAGTAAATCTTACCTCAATAATAAGACGTTGGTCTTCATAAATTCCATTACACAGATCTTCAGGGTAGCTACCATCTTGAACATCCAGACTCATCTGTCTAGTAAATTCATCTGTTGGCGTGCTGTTTTGGGTACCGGTGCCATCAGAAACATTGACCTCTGTGATCTGTAATTCATTATCTCCTATAACACCAGACATCTTCATCCATTCCTCTTGGTCTATAACACCAAAAACTTCATCAATCCTCCTTCGAGCAGCTTCTTCTTCGTCTTTAGCTTCCTCTGTTTCTATGGTATACGTTCCTGCATCGCTTAACTTATCTTCTGGACTAGTACAGGAAATTCTCTTTGGTTCTTCGTCATTATTTATGGATATATCATCACCACTTTTCACACCAACTGCAGTTTCTTTGGTCCCTTCGAACATTTTATCAATAAGATATGATGTGGTGTCAGAATAATTAGAAGGACTGATATTACCGCCATCCACGGATCTCAATACTGGCGATTGTTTAGAGGTGGACTTTACTGGTCTGGATCCTAAATTTGGAAAGAACAAATTTAGTCACACAGCGCTTTCTCTTGTTTTTCCTTGTTAGATCCATCATCCCACACCACAAAGGGTATTCCAAGCATCATAAGACTTTCTCTTTCAGCATTGGATTGAACAGCATGGTTTCCCCTTATTAGTTGTGCAGGATGAAGGACTGACAAGGACAGCTGTCTAGACGTTTGGATAGGATAAAAAACTGAGGTCCTGTGTACACATTGTCGTGCACGTAAAAGATCCCTTGGCATTTGGAATTTCATATAAGAGTGAGGGTAGCGCCGTTGTCCGGGCAAAATTTCCCTCATAGCACACTGTATGGCATATGCCTGTCTTCATTAGCCAAGTCGGAGCAGAACAGTAGGATGTTAAACCCCATTTCATTTTATTTGACTTGGATTGAACCAGGGACCTTCTGGTAAGTGAACCAGAAACATACTCCATGTGGCTTCTGCTAAAACTTATGAGACATCAATTTAATTCAACAGTTTAGTATAACATTTCTACAACATTGGTATATCACAGCCTACAAAATTATTTATTATAAAAATAATGATAGTATACCATTTCTGCCCCTACCCTTCTCCTCTAGTTGTGTTTTACAGAACACAAAAAAAGAGAGTTGCCTCCCTTCACACATTTGGCTGGAATAACCTAAACAGTATATCAGGGGTGCTGTGGTAATTGATAATAAATTTTATTACATGTATAACACCTATATGAACACTTACCAACATTTCTATTTTCATCACAAATTATTCTTTCTTGCTGAGGTGACTTCCGCCTGTCTTGTTGAGGTGATCTACGTCTGTCTTGCTGTGGGGATCTCCGTCGATCTTGTTTTGGGGATTTTCGTACAGATAATTCACCTTTAACCTCTTCAACAGGGGATTTATGTTGTGTCCGTTTTGATCTCTCGGCTAATGGAGACATTCTCGTATTCTTTGTTCTTGTCTCGTCTACAGAAGATTTTCTTGCTTTTGTCCGCGCCTCTTCAAGAGGAGATTTACGAGTAGAACTCCGTAGTTCCTTTCGAGTCATACTTTTATTAGAATCCTCCTCAGATTTTGGGGTTGAACTTTTACCCCTGGATTCCTCACCTACAGATTTCCGCCGTGAGTAAGGTTTCTTTTGAATGTCTGATTTGCGAGAAGCACTAATTTGCTCGGAAGATTTCCTGGATTTTTTAGACTCTGTAAATCCACAAACATCTTCTACTTTTTTATGCTGACTAGACCCAATCTCCGAATCCTGAAGAAAATAAAACGTATATTGGGAAAACTGGTATAGATAAAAGAAATTTCCTCCTTTAATTCATCAAAATGTACACTCAATTCAGGAAGTGAAGAATCTACTTAAAGCGGAAATTGCAAATTTTCTAAGAAAGTCAAAACGTAATTATTTCTATGTCTTTTGCTCAATAGGTTGTCAACTCACAATTATACGATCATAGGTGTCATTCTCACACTTAAGATTCATTTAGACAGGAAATAATAACACAATTACCTCCCAATTACCCCCCTTGTTTTCTATTCCCCACCATGGAGTAGCGATATTCAAACGTTTAAAAAAGAAGAGGAAAATGATATTTTTGCCAATTTCTCAGCTGGCAATAGTGAATTATAGGATTAATAGGATTATTCTTTAACAAGGTAGGACTGTTTATGGATACCATCTATTTTCAGGCTTTATTTTAATAAATTTTAAAAATATAACTTAAAAATTTGCAATTTCCGCTTTAAAGTCTTACTTGGGAGTTTTATTTCACATAGAAAGATCCTACAAAATCGCATACAAATGGCTACTTTTCCAGCCTCGTACAATTCCTAATTAATGAGGAAGAAGTCATATTTGCCCAATTCTGGTAAAAAATTACTTGGGATAACAGAAAATATACTTCAAATTTATACTACATTGACATATCTTAATGAGAAATTTTGGAGTAATATTGGAAACAAATTTTCAACATTTTATCATGAAGTGGGCCTATAAAATTTAAAGAAGACTTCCTTTGATGCATGTTGATAGTAATGTTTAACCAAATTTGTTGATTTTCTCACAATGATATCATTGATGATCGTATCAAAGACATTTGTTCGGATCACTGTACATGTAAATATATAAAGTATGGGTATGTTTAAACTTACAGGTGACTTGTTTTTTTCCTTTCTTGCATTAACTTCACTCTGACGTTCCTGAAATCTTTCCTTTAATCTAGAGGGCATTAAATCACTCAAATTCCCCGAATTTTTATTCTTTTTCTGTTTTGTGTCCTCTCCAAAGTCTATTGTAAACACCATGCTAGAATCAACCGATTTGCCTTTTGTCTTTTGTAAAGTTTTATCTTTATTATCCAACTCGTTGGTATCTGGAGGTGAAAGCAAACTGTCTTTAGACAGTGACGATGCAACACTTTGTTGGGGCGTTTCATTCTTTTCATCCACTAAATCATTCATTGGTATCTCCATGTAGGTCTGTTGATATCGTGGATCTGTTTTATATTTCTCCATTTTGGCGACTTCTATCTCTCTCTGTTTTTTTTGTATCTCTAAACTTGAAGGTCGATCTGATGAATCTTTATTCTCATGGTCATCTGAAATAGATAAATATAAAGTAAGATTTAAAAACATCCACCATCTACAACCATTTAAAGACATTCATGTCAAGTTCACAAAGCAAGTTAAAGCATATAACTCCTTTTGGGTTCTATTACCATTTTGGGTAAAATCAGAATTTGAACTGAATGTGGCATCAATTAACAGTAAATTACAGGTTACCACCAAAGAACTGATCCATATCAACCACAACCCAGGTTATCACTGGAACATAATTGCATTACATAAAATCAATGTGATCAGTTATATAAAGTAGAAAGTTATAGGATTATCAAGACACATGTCTATAAATCAATTCAAATTATATCTATTCTAGACAAAATGATAAACTATATGATTTGGTAACACAGATTTTTGTAATTTAAATAACATAAATATGAAACTTATCATCCATTATAGTTCAACATTAACTTATAATATACATTTAAAGGTTAAGTAAATTCCAGCGTCACTATATAATGTAAGTTTACATTGTGGCTACTCATTGGTAAATATTCAGAATTTTCACCTTTAAGTAAGTATGATATTTCTAGGTAAAATCTAATAGTTTATTATGTTTTATCCAGTTTTTATTCTTGAAAGGAATAGATTAGATGAACACACCCTACTATCAAGGTATGCCAAAGTATCGTATGACAATTATGACAAAAATTTAACAACACATTTTTCTTATTTCTCATTACTACTGTACATTCATTGACAAACTTCATTATTCAAAAAAAAACTTAACAAAACACAGACCCAGACAGATGAATGTTTAACGCTAATTGGCGCCGACAATTCCAATCCATTTTAAAGTAATTATTGGTCTTCTGACAATGATGAAATGTAAGAATTTTTTCTGTAAATTATCCTATAAACTTAAACTACTGCCATATGGAATTCTGCCAAATCTTTGTATTCAACACCCAAGTAAAACATTTTATACGGATTTGTAAAATAAAATAAGTAGACAAGGATTTGATGTGATGGTGACTCACAACAAGTTTTAGGTAATAATCTAGTCAAATGGCTGAGGAGACAGTTCCATCAATTTAAATTGTCCCCAGTTCTCTTTTAAATAAAAGTAATACTGCATGAACTGACAGCGATCAATGAGCAAATAGGATTCCATGCATACCAAAGATAAGGCCAAATTGATTTTTAGCTCTTCAGAATCTTGATAAATTACCTTGTGTGAGGGCTATTTGTATATTAAAATTTAAGCTTGAAAACTTGAAGATCTGAGCTATTGAAAAGAGAAACCAAGGTTTTTTAAAACTTTTTATTGCCCAAAAGAAATAGGAAGAAAAATTTAAATTTGAATATGCGTCCTCGAATAATTAAAATATAGCACCATTTTTATTCCTATGTGTCCAAGAGATAAAGATGGCTGTCTGATATTAATGAATAAAAACCAGAATAAATGTAAAAGGACCATAACTTAGAATTGATCAATTTGAATAATTCTTTGGGCCATATTGTTTTAAAATAAAAGTATTTTTGACTTTGTATTGTCTAAACTCTATATTTAACCCCTTATTCTAGCACGTTGGGGCATGAATTTTAAAAATAATCACTATAGCCTGAAATAATTTCTTCATATTCTGCTTGGTCTGTTGTTATATATAATCAGAGTACCCTACACTTAATCCAACTAAAATATAGATTTGTGCTTTTATACCAAGTCATATAACCAATAAAACTGTGGTTTAAAGCCTTCTCTACTTTTGTTTTCTTCACTACCAAACTGTTAAATATGGATTATGTATTGCAGGTCTTTTTTCCTGACTTTAAAAATTATTATCTACACATTTATTCACATGACAAGCCTAGAATCAAATCTGGAGTCCATCGGATGGAGGAGATTTAAATGTATTTGAACACCTGCAAGATTTTTAATGATAAAATGGATAAGCTAGGTTTAGTCAAGTACCGTTGCTACGATAATAAACCATCTACGCTATACATGTATCTTCCAACACCCATATTTTGCTCCGAATAAAGTAATTTGAATGAAATTTTCAATATCGATTTTTTAACTATTATTTATAGCAACACCGGCCAGCGCTTTTTCTAAATCTTACATAATGCATCTTTAAATAAGTGCAAATTAAAAAGAACATACAGCAGAAGTGAAGCAACCCCAGGGATATATCAATAATCTAACCTCTCTGATATATAACAGTCTGCCAACATACGATCACTAATATTGGCAGCTTAATGCACACACACACACAAGTCTAAAAGCTATTTTCACAGATAAATTTTTTCACCACCTTCCCAAAATATCTGACGTGTGCTTATAGCAATAAATGTAACATACTAGATGGGAGATGAAACTAAACAATCACAGACGTAAAAGTTCCTTCAGGTCGGCTGACAAATTATAGAATTTCTTCAAGTAAACATTTTTTCCCCAATCCCCACAATAAAAACCAACAATGATTTATATTCCTGTTTGTTTGAAGTTAAAAGGGAAATTATGCATAGTAAAAAAAATATATCTTTGAATAAAATCTGAAGAGTTATTGTTACTGAAACTTGAAATACCTGTTCTACCAGTATTAATGAAATGGAAAGAAATTTAAGATATAACTCTTGTCTGAATACAATAAATCTGAGATATAACTCTTGTTTGAATATAATAAACAAGAGATATAACTCTTGCCTGAATATAATAAACCTGAGATATAACTCTTGTCTGAATATAATAAACCTAAGATATAACTCTTGTTTGAATATAATAAACCTGAGATATAACTCTTGTCTGAATATAATAAAACTGAGATATAACTCTTCAACTCTTGTCTGAATACAATTAACAGGAGATATAACTATAACTCTTGTCTAAATATAATAAACCTGAGATATAACTCTTGTCTGAATATAATAAACCTGAGATATAACTCTTGTCTGAATATAATAAACCTGAGATATAACTCTTTTTTGAATATAATAAACCTGAGATATAACTCTTGTCTGAATATAATAAAACTGAGATATAACTCTTCAACTCTTGTCTGAATACAATTAACAGGAGATATAACTATAACTCTTGTCTAAATATAATAAACCTGAGATATAACTCTTGTCTGAATATAATAAAACTGAGATATAACTCTTCAACTCTTGTCTGAATACAATTAACAGGAGATATAACTATAACTCTTGTCTAAATATAATAAACCTGAGATATAACTCTTGTCTGAATATAATAAACCTGAGATATAACTCTTGTCTGAATATAATAAACCTGAGATATAACTCTTTTTTGAATATAATAAACCTGAGATATAACTCTTGTCTGAATATAACAAGCCAACAGTGAGGCTGATGTCCCCCGCCGAAATAGGAAAATAATTAGAGGACACATATAAATTTATCACAAATTATCTTTTACAAAGTATTGAACAATCAAACAGTTCAACCAATCAAATTGCTTATCTCTGCTTACCCTAAGCGGAAAATGCTCATCTTCGAACTCCATCAAGGCATTGACCTAATCAACACATACACCAAGTTTGAACATTCTAGCTCAATTAGGAAGAGAGTTATCGTGCCCCAAAGTATCAACCAATCAAATTGCTTATCTCTGCTTACCCTAAGCGGAAAATGCTCATCTTCGAACTCCATCAAGGCATTGACCTAATAAACACATACACCAAGTTTGAACATTCTAGCTCAATTAAAAGTTATCGTGTCCCAAAGCATCAACCAATCAAATTGCTTATCTCTGCTTACCCTAAGCGGAAAATGCTCATCTTCGAACTCCATCAAGGCATTGACCTAATCAACACATACACCAAGTTTGAACATTCTAGCCCAATTAGGAAGAGAGTTATCGTATCCCAAAGCATCAACCAATCAAATTGCTTATCTCTGCTTACCCTAAGCGGAAAATGCTCATCTTCGAACTCCATCAAGGCATTGACCTAATAAACACATACACCAAGTTTGAACATTCTAGCTCAATTAGGAAGAGAGTTATTGTGTCCCAAAAAGTGTGACGGACAGACAGACGGACGGACAGACGGACAGACAGACGGACAGACAGACAGACGGACGAACCCATTTTAATAGTCCCCTGCTTTCTTCGAAAGGCGGGGGACAATAAAACTGAGATATAACTCTTCAACTCTTGTCTGAATACAATTAACAGGAGATATAACTATAACTCTTGTCTAAATATAATAAACCTGAGATATAACTCCTGTCTGAATCGAATAAACCTATCAACTTGAATAAGATGATCTAATAAATTTTACAAGGTATTTGTTCAATTATTTAACTAACTTGCCTGGAAGTTTCTATTTGTATTTGGTCACCAAAATGGCTTGAATGGGGTTCTTTGCAATTCAGAACACTTCTTCTACAATATCACCTGATGAGAGCGACTGTTTAATGCACGAACTATCCCATTATACAGCATAAGATTAATATACAGAGATACACTTAACCATATTATACCTGAATCTACTATGATCTAAGAAGCAAAAACTCTTTGATGTTTTAATATCACCAATACCCACACCATACACTGTAGACCACGCTTAAACATATAGGGTTAACACACCTCGGTCATATTGTGGTTAAAACAATAGACACTGACACCTATCTCAATGATTTACATAGTAGGTGAAATAGCTACAGTAATATACAGAGTACCTGGCATACCAATACTGTGTTACTCCCTTTAAGATAAACAAATTAACTAACATATGCTGAACACAATGCCTCTATATAACCCTGACTTATATAATTAGTGACCATAAGGGACTTACAGGTTCCTTCAACTATGGTTCACTTATTTCATTATAGATAAAACTCTAAACACTCTATCCAAAAGAAATCAATGTATTAGTGGGACCATATGAGATCCAATATTTTGTTCTTAAAGATCATCAGTGCTTCAAGATCGTCAGATCAGAACATAATGACCATAAGAGAGGCAGAATACAGAATATCAATGATAAACCATAACACAGAACTTCAAAGT